GTGGTGGTCGTCGTCGTCACTGTCGTCGTCGTCATCGTCACCGTCACAATCATCACAACCATCACAATAATCATCATCATCGTCTTCACCGTCACCATCATCATCACCACCGTCACCACCACCACCACCACCATATAACCACAACCGTTATAAATATCACCATCGCCACCATCATCAACATCATCATCATCATCATCATCATCATCATCATCATCACCATTTCCATCATCAACACCATCGCCTACAATATCATCACCATCATCATCATCATCATCATCATCATCATCATCATCATCATCATCATCATCATCATCATCGTCATCAACACCGCCATCATCATCATCGTCGTCTTCATCCGCATCATTATCCTCATCCTTCTGCTTCCTCTTCTTCTTCTTCTTCTTATCATCACCATCATCGCCACCATCACCATCGCCATCACACATTATTATCATCCACATCCCCGTCCTCCTCCTCCTCTTTCTCCTCATCCTTCTCTTTCTACTCATCATCATCAGCCCTATCATTTTCTTAATCTTGACCATCGTCATCACAGCTCTCCCCACCCTGTATCTGCGATGTGTCACACGTGACGGCCTCCCGTGCTCCCTGAACAATCGCCACCGGAAATGTTGGGCTGGCACGGTGGTGGGACTTGCCGCAAGCAACTGGATACATCACTGCGGCCGCTACAAATACGACTACCACTGAAACTACCATTACCGAATACCGCTAGCCCTGGCACTACCTTTAACATCACCACTATCCGCTATCAACGCCACTGTCACTTTTACCAGTACCACTACCACCACCACTACCACTACCACTGCTACTGCCACCTGCAAGCCGACTACTGACCACTACTGACACTACTGAAACCACCGTTCGAACACTACCTCTATCAAACAATTCAGCGACCGCAGCCATTCACTACAGCCTCGAGTGATTCTGCACTGCCAGCAGCCCTACACTGGCAAATGCTACCACTACCACTACCTTTGACACTACCAATACCATTACTATTTAACCACCCCTACAAGTATCACTACAAGTGCCACTATCAGTACTCCACTAATACCCCTACCAGTGCAACTGTCACTACGAATGCTGCCACCACTGTGATTGAAATTCGCTGTCAGACTACACACACCGTCTTCAACAACCTCACTGGATAACCACCACCACCGCCATCACTACCACTACCACTGCCACTTCAGGTGCCCCTACTACCCCTTCCACTGCCACTACCACTGCCAATGATATTGCCGCTGCCGCCACTACTACTTCCACTGCGAGCACGTACCAATAGCACTGCCAGCGCAAATGCAGCGCCACTGCTGCAGCCCTTCCCGCCTGCCTACCTCAACCGCAGAGGCGGCCCGGCGCCCTCCTCGTTCGCCGGGATGCCGGGCTGGCCGTGCCAGGGCGTCAGGTCCAGCCGGAGGCGCCGCAGGCGCCCGCCTGGACGCTGCCGGCAGGAGACGGGTGGGGCTCTGACGGTAGGACGTCGCAGAATGAAGGCGATGAAGGCGACGACGACCACGGGAAGGAGGAGGGTGCGGCGGGGGGGAGGGGGAGAGCACGCTCTCTTCGTTGAGACGGAATGACGAGGGCCATGCACGTCTGGCAGTTGTAGCATACGCCTGGCTGGATGCCAGGGAGAGGCGCGTAGGGACATAACAAGACGATGAGGGCACGATTTGGTCAGGGAGAAAGGCCGAAACAGGACAGCGGGGGTAACGATGATGATTCTGCTGCTGATGATGATGACGTTGCTGATGATGCTGATGATGCTGATGTTGATGATGCTGATGATGATGACGCTGATGATGCTATTGCTGGTGATGCTGATGATGAGGGTGATGATGATGGTGATGCTGATGCTGATGATGACGACGACGATGGTGATTCTGCTGATTCTGGTGATGATGACGACGATAATGATGATGATGCTGATGATGATGATGCCGATGCTGATGCTGATGATGATGATGATGATGATGATGATGCTGATGCTGATGATGATGATGATGATGATGATGATGATGATGCTGATGCTGATGATGCTGATGATGATGATGCTTATAATAATGATGCGCTGTTGATGATGATGAGTATGCTGGCGGTGTTTATGGCGGATGCAACGAAGATGTTGACGATGCCTATGAGGAGACAGGTGGCGATGACGCTGATAATGCTAATCCGCCGACCCCTTGGGGTCACGGCGTGTGAGATGCTTCCCCCCTCCCCAAACCCCTCCCCCGGGGGGCCTGGTCCAGCCTGTTTGGAGGGGTGTGGGGGGGGGGCAAATCCATCATCCGCACACGTGGAGCCCCAGGAAGCCCCAAAACGGGCCAAAGAGGTTCCAAAGGTTCCTGGAACGGTCCAAGAGAGCTACGAATCGACGAAAGATCGCCCCAAAACGCCGAAGATTGCCTCCACACGGCTCCATAAGTCCCCAAGACGTTTGAAACAATATTACGAGGCGCTCCAAAGAGGCCCTCCAGAAGCAAAAATCGTCCCATCTCCTAGGTAAAGCGTACATGTTCCAGCACATTCGCTTCTTGGGCTTTCACGAGGCCCACAACGGCCCAACAAGTGGCACGCGTGCCATGGCTCTTGCACAAAACGGAGGGGGAAGGAGGAAGAGGATAATGAGGAGGAAGAGGAGGAGTAGGAGGAGGAAGAGGAGGAGGAAGAAGAAGAGGAGGAGGAGGAAAGGGGGGAGAGAGGGGACGAGAAATCGGAGAAGTCTCGGGGGGGCGGGACGGCGGGGGCGCGTGCGACGCAGAAATAAAAATGGTCGGAGCGGAGGTGGGCGGGGTGCACTGGGCGGGCGGGGAGGGGAGAACGATCGTGGGGGCGGGACGGTGGGGGCCGTGCGACGTGGAAGAAAACATTCGTGGCGGAGAGGGCTGTGGGCGGGGCTCCTACTGGTGCGCTGGGGACGCGGGGGGGCTCGGGGTGACTGGGCTGGGCTCCTACTGGGGCGCTGGGGACGTGGGGGGGGGGTGGGGAGGTGGTGTGCGCCGCGACGCGGAATACAATGGACGGGGCGGAGGGGGCACTGGGCGGGGCTTGCTGCAGAGGGTCACGGGGCGGGGGTCCAACTGGGGCGCTGGGGACGGGGGGAGGAGGGGGGGAGGTGGTGTGCGTCGCGACGCGGAATCAAATTGTCGGGGCGGAGGGGGCACGGGGCGGAGCCCCCACTGGGGCGCTGGGGATGCGGGGATGGAGGTGGGGGAGGTAGTGTGCGTCGCGACGCGGAATAAAGCGTTCGTGGCGGAGGGGGCAGTGGGCGGGGCTCCCGCTGGGGCGCTGGGGACGCGGGGGGGCTCGGGGCAGAGAGCCACGGCGCGGGGGTCCCACTCTGGCGCTGGGGACGCGAGGGGGGGCTCGGGGCAGAGAGCCACGGCGCGGGGGTCCCACTCTGGAGCTGGGGACGCGGGGGGGTGGGGGTGCGACGCGGAATAAAATGGTCGGAGCTCTAGACACCCTGTGCAAGAGAATAAACCTCCAAGATCGACCCGTGTCCCCCGAAGAGGCTCCCGAGAAGGCTCCAAGACGGCTTCCGGGCGATCCACGAAGGCTCCAGAAACCATAGCAACGGCTCAAGAAAGCCGCAGGACAGTCCCAAGAGGGCTCCAAAACGGGCCAAGAGGGCTCCCAAAGGCTGTCTGGACGGCCCACCCGGGGACGATTCGGCACAAACCGCCAAGGATTGACTCCAGAAAGCCCCATGGGCGTCCAAGACGTTTGCATACGCGACCACGAGGCGCTCCAAGCAGGCCTCCAGAAGCAAAAACCGTCCCATTCCCATGGGAAAACGTGCATTTTCAGCATATTCGCTTCTTGGGCTTCCACCAGGCCCACAACGGCCCATTAAACCTATAATTTCAACCTCTGGCACCCCACGAGACTCTCCAAAAGGCTGCACGACGGCCTCCGGGCGCCCCACGAAGGCCCCAGAAACCATAGCAACGGCCCGGGGGAACGGCAGGACGGTCCTGAGAGGGCTCCAACACGTGTCTAGAGGGGCCTCACAGGCTGTCCGGACAGGCCACGCGGGGGACGATTGCTGCTGCCCCAGGGGGTCGGCAGTGTGGCGCAGGAACAAAACATAAAGGCGATGATGACTTCGCTAGCGGGCGACGCTCTGCATCGGCGGCGCACCATCGAAGGCCATTGCTCTGCGAATGAACTTGTGAAGCTTCAAGGCTCCAGAGCCCCCCAGGCTCACGCGCCAGGCGGCGCGCATGGGGTGACCCCAGGGGCGCGAACGCACGCCGCTGGTGGGCGATGGGAACGCCAGGCGCTCGCGCCACGAAATGACTGCACAGTCGGTCTTCCATGCTGAAGTGTACGGCGCGGAGGGGCTCGATTCGGCACGCGCTATGGAAGGAGGAGGAGGAGGAGGAGGAGGAGGAGGAGGAAGAGGAGGAGGAGGAGGAGGAGGAGGAGGAGGAGGAGGAGGAGGAGGAGGAGGAGGAGGAGCCTCGCCGCCGACGTCGGGGCTCGCCGCGGCCCCGACGCCGCGCCTGCGGCACCCTGGCCGCCAACCGCCCCCACGCAGCTCCGTCGGCACCCAGCCCTCCACCAATGCCGCACGGCGGGATGAGCAGGCGATCGGCGACCGGCGGCCTCAGCAGTAGCCCAGTGCCGCCGGTGACCGTGGCCCCGAGCAGGCCGATGACCGTGGCCCGAGCAGCCCGCGGACGGATGCGTCTCCAGAGAGAGGAGGCTGTGGGCCGCCAGGGCAGGCCGGCAACGAGCGGGCCGACCCCAGGAGGTCGGAGCTGCGGCCACCGCCTCCTGCCCACGGCCCGCTCCCAGGGCCGGAGGGGCACGACGGAGGCAGCAGGCCAGCGCGGGCAGGGACCTCGGCGCCACGAGCAGCACCTCGCGCCCAGAGCCCACAAGCGTGCGGCCCGAGGTTGGGATGCCGAGGAGGAAGCCCGCGCGTGCACTCGACGAGCGCCGTGCGCCGAGCACCCCGAGCATCACGCCCCCGGCACGGTCGCCGGCCTGCGGGGACCACACCGAGGCAACAGGGGGGCAGCAGAGGTGCTGGCGGGCCGGGCGCCCACGCACAAGAGGTGCCTCTCCGCCGCCTCCAGCCCGCCAGAAGGTGGCCGAAGGTGGGTGGCTCGGGGCTTCGTGCACGGGGGCTTGGCTAAACGGGGGCTTGGGCTTTGCCATATACCCCCGTCTACTGAATTCCCCGTCTATGGCGCCCAGGGCCCCCTTGAACGGGGGCACAGCCAAACGTGGGAATCGGCGTTCCCCGTACCCCCGTTTGCTGTGCCCCCGTCTCTGGCGCCCTGAGTGGCGATGCTGGAAGAGAAGCCGGGCGAGGGGCCCGAACTTGCGCCTGGCAAGCCCGAGCCCGAGCAACACCACCGCGCGGATGTGCGACACGGCGTGAGGCAGGGCATGCACGTGCACACGTGTGCGTACCCCCACTGAGTGAAGAAACAACGCCGTAAACATAAACTTTTGGTGGCGCTCCGCGCGGACTTCTTGGATCTGCGCTGGGGCCCCCTCTCTGGCGCGCAGAGCGCGCCAGGGGCGCCGCCAGGGAGGGCCCAGCCCGGATCCAAGAAATTCGCGCGGAGCGCCAAGGGTTTACGTTTATGGCGTTTTCTCCTTCGAACGTATGCGTACCCTCACACGTGACGGCGAAGATCGCGCCCACGAGGACGCACGGGCCCAGGGCGGCGAGCAGCGTCTCCGCAAGACGCCCGAGCGCGGCGGCGGCCGCGACGAGGGCGGCACCCGAGCGCAGAAAGGCAGACGGGCACTTGGCGGGCCCCGCCTGCTGCGTCCCCCCTGCCGACGAGGACGGCCGCGGGCGTGACCCAGGCGCAGCGAGCATCAGCAACACCAGCTGCCGGATGGGGGAGGAGCAGGTGCCCGTGCCGTGCCACAACCGGCGGCGGCAGCGCCGCCCCGCACAGCAGCGGCGAGGCCGTCGGCCACGAGCCTGGCAAAACGGCACCGGCCCCCTGCCTGGCCAGCCAGTGCCGGGCCGCAGCCCTATAAGCGCAGGGGATGGCGAGGTGCAGCGTTCGCTCCTGCCGCCGCGCGTCTGCGGAGGCCGCGCCACTTTTGAGCGGCACGCGGCAGCGGGCGCAAAAGCCACACTCCCGCCTGGTCATCATTGGGGCCAGGGGCTGGGCAAGGGTCGGGCGGCGGGGGCCGGGCGGGCCGCCTCGGAGCCGAGGCCCGACGCCTGACGTTACCCCGTCGCGCCGGACAAGATTGGCTGCTCGAGCTGCGGCCGTGCACCTGCACTCGCCAATAGTCGCGCTCCTACAGTCATCGGCCTGACCTAAGGAACAGTACATGAGGAACGGAGCCCCTCTGTTTTTTTTTTCCAAGGAGTAACGCAGAAGGAACAATGCATGACGCATGCACGCCTAAGGAACGGCCGAGCCCCTTTTGAAGAGCGAGTGCTCCTTCTTCAGGTCGCTCGCTGTGCTTCCCCCCCGCCAGCCCGGTCAAAGACTGCAAGATGCACGCTGCGTCAAGATCTGGGCAGTGCGCGGGCGCCCCGTGGGCACTCTGCATCGTTCCGGACAAGGACAACGGGGGTGGCCTCAAAGCGTCTGCTCCGCGCAGGCCCGCCATCCCTGCCAACACGCAGTGCAAAACATGCTGGGTGGCACAAGCTGGTTCATGCGCGGGCGCCCCGCGATCATGTTGCACTGTTTTTTGACGGAGGGGAAGCGGCGTGGGGGGGCCCTCAGATTGATTGCTCTGTGCAGGCTCGCGGTCCACAACCAAAGAACAATACAAAGTACACTTTGTGGCAACATCTGGATTACGCGCGGGCGCCCCGCGATCACTTTGCATTGGTTTCTGGCAGTCACGGCGGGGGTGTCCTCATCTTGTCTGCTCATGAACTCACTGGGATGGGGACCCCAGGCTCGGATGCTGCCCATGTGTTGGGATGGCGGGTGGGAGCGACCGACACGGCTTGCGGCCTGGGGTGCTCTGATCACTGTTCCCTATCAACAAGCACCCCCTCCCCGAACCGACTGGCAGCAAGCCCGAACCAATGACACTCCCCCCACCATCCCCAGCAGAAAGCACTACAAAACACACCTTGCCCCCAGATCGGCAGCATGCGCAGGCGCCCCGTGCCCACTTTGCCATCGGCTTTCGGCCAAGGACGGCCGGGGGTGCCTCATTGCTTGCTGCGCGCAGGCCAACCATCCCTGTCAAATTACAACACTAAGTGCACTTCGCCTCCAAATCTGGAGCGCGCGGAGGCGCCCTGCGACATCTTTTCTTGATTTTTGGCAAGGATGCTTGGGTGCTACTTATGTGCGTGTGGGGGTGGGGCGGGTGGCAGTGAGCGAGACGGTTTGCGCCTTGTGGGCAGGAAGTATCTTCACCTCTCCCCCTCCCCCCTCCCCCTGGGTCTGGACGGGGGGGGCGGCGACCGGTCAGAGGGCCCAAGAGGGGAGGTGCCAGAAAAAAAAATCATCGGATCGA